CTGCGCGCACTCCGCGCTGGCCCAGCTGCGTGGCATCCTGGAGGAGGAGCTGGAAGGGATCCGCGGGGCCGGCACCTGGAAGAGCGAGCGGATCATCACGTCGCGTCAGGGGCCGCGCATCCGCGTCGACGGCGTCTCCGGAGGTAACTCCCCCTCCCGGGAGTCGTTGGAGTCGGGCGGCTGTTGAGAGGGCCTTCCGAGGCTTGCGCTGAATGGAGGTCCTGCGCTCGTAGCCACTGGCCCCTGTTCCAGCTATCAGACCTACTTTACTCATGTTAAATCTGGTTAAACCCGTTTCCACGAAGGGAGGTGATTTGCCCTTGAGCACTTGTTTGATTAAGAGGGCAGAGTGGGCCAGACCCAGCCTGGGAGAATGTGAGAAAAAAGAGACATGCCCAGCTGGGTCCCCAGCTGCTTCAAGGACGGGTGATGGGAAGGCGAAGCGAGAAACCCGGCATTTCTGGAGCTGCTGCTTTGTGCAGGCCTCTCTAAGAGCTGCACGTGGACTTCTGTAACTCTCCGCTTTACAAATGAAAAGGCTCAGAAGTGAGCTGCCCCAAAGCCCCCAGCGAGCGGCAGGCAGAGCCGGGCTTTCGTCCAGGTCGTCTGGTAGTGGAGCTGGCAGGTCAGCTAATGGGCCCGAGAGGCCAACTTCCTGGCCAGTCTCAGCGAGCAAGGGGCGCATGGGCTGCTGCAGGAGTCACACCAGGAATTGGACCACCCGGTCTCCCTCTGTCTGTGCCAGTCCCAAGTGGGTACTGGTTATAAAGGCTGCCCTCTGCTCAGGAAGTAGGCATGGAATCCTTGGTGCTGTTGCACTCATTTGTAAAATGGTGGTCCCAGGAAATCCCTACCTCCCCCCACCCCCCACCCCCACAGGAAGCTTGGAGCAGGTCAAAAGATGGGAAATGAGGAGACTCCAGGTGCTCATCCCTTTTGCCTTCCCCAGGCTGAGTGAACCTTCCTCAAGCCGCTTTTTCCTCCTCGGGTATAATTCAAGGTCCAGGTCTCAGAGGCACCCCTTGTTGCCCTGTGATTCTATATCAGGCAGCAAAGTGAACTGTGAAGTTTGAGAACCACAGTGAGCATCTGACCAAACCCTGTTCATTTACCCATGAGGTAACCAAGGCTCAGATGAGGGGTTGCTGGTGTCCTCAGGTGGGGGAGGAGCCTGTTTTTTTTTCATTCAGAGCCAGAGTTTAAATTTCTCATCTTTCAAGATGCCGCTCAGACCCTTTCCTGACCTCTCCTCTCCTGTAGCTGGTGGATTCAGTGCCTCCTAGGGGCCCCCAGATCCCCATCCTGGCCTATGCCCCAGAATGGATCATACTGTGTGGTGGTTGCCTCCTCAAGGGTGAATCCTGATTCATTTACTGCCTGGGTCCCCAGGGCCTAGCACTGACACCTTTCCAGGCCTTTCCTTAGGCCCTTGAGCTGCTGTCTGTTTTCTGTCCCCCACTTCAGAAATCCTTAACTTCTGTGCCAACAACTACCTGGGCCTGAGCAGCCACCCCGAGGTGATCCAGGCAGGTTTGAAGAACCTGAAGGAGTTTGGAGCTGGCCTTAGTTCTGTCCGCTTCATCTGTGGGACCCAGGTATACAGTGGCTGATGTGGGAAGGGGGCGGGTAGAGTGGGGCCTTGTCCCCAGCTGTCTGCTTCCCACAGTCAGCAGGGCTGGTTTAGCCAGCTCAGCTCATCCTATCCCAGGGCTGTGGGCCACTCTCGGCCCCAGAACCATCCACTAGAAAGACTGGGTTCAGGCTTCTGTTTTGCTGTGAAGGTTTGGACAAGAAACCACATCTCCCAGCATCTATTTTCCCACCTGCAGAACAGAGTCCACCGGTCCTACAGAAAGGAAGAATAGAAGGCAGGGATTGAGGTAGAGGGTTCTGGAGCAATTCTGCCTATGCCCAATTCCCAGCACCACCTTTTTATTATTATTATTTTTTAATCCTCACCTGAGGTTATGTTTACTGATTTTAGAGAGAGAGGAAGGGAGGTAGAAAGAGACATGGATGTGAGAAAGAAACATCGTTCGTTGCCTCCCATACACACCTCAACGGGATTGAACCCGCAACCTTAGGTACATGCCCTGACCAGGAATCGAACGCAATACTTTTTCATGTATGGGACAACATCCAACTAATTGGACCACCCGGCGAGGGCCCAGTACCACCTTTTATTGACTCTGTTACTCTGGGCAAGTGACTTAACCTCTCTGTGTCTCAATCCTTTTATTGGTAAAATGGGAATAATAGTGCTTAATAGAATCTTTACAAATTACAGAGTTAATACATTTTAAAATGCTTAGAACAGCGCTTGACACACAGCAGTGCTCAATGAATGTTGGTTATTATTTTGTAATGTTTCAAAATAAACTTACATAGACATGAAAGTTACTGTGCTTACTATGTGTCAGGTACTGTTTTAAGAACATTACAAACATTAACTCATTAATGCTCAGAACTATCCTCAGTGATAAGTGTTGTTTTCACCCCTGTTAAAGAGGACACTGGGGCCCAGAGAAGTGAAGTGACTTGCTTACGGCTTTCATGGTAGGATTTTAACCCAGGTGACCTGGCTCAAGAGTCCAGGCTCCTGACTACTTGTAATTATGACCTATCCTCTCAGAAAGTTGAGGATGAAATGAATGATGGAACTCCTAAGTCAGGGCACTTTCCAACAAAATCCTGGACAGCTCTCAAATCTAAGAATTCAAGGTCCAAATGAACTTAGAGTTACTTATGTAATCCTCTTCTTTGCCATAAAGCAACCAAAAAAGACACTCAGTTTGATATTAGCAAGACACATCTTCCTTTGCCATCAGTACCCATAATTTCACTGTCCAGCCCTCATTACAAAAAGAAGAGCCAACCAGGAAGGGACACCGAGCAAGTCCCTAATTCCTCTGTGAGAACCATCTGCCAGATTCCTGTGGGCTCTGAGGAACCCTTGTGGTGAAGAAAGAAGGGAAAGGCCAGGGCTGTAGGTCTTCTAGGCTGGGTGTGTTTATGACCTTCTAAGCCTCTGTCCCCAGGACTTGTGCCATGTGACCCTGCAGGCATTAACACCTGTCTCACTCACTTTCTTCAGAGCATCCACAAGGATCTAGAAGCAAAGATAGCCCGCTTCCACCAGCGCGAGGATGCCATTCTTTTTCCCAGCTGTTTTGATGCCAATGCTGGCCTCTTTGAGGTGTGTAGGGGCCATGGGTGGGAGTTGGCGAGGCCTGCTAAGCTGTAGAAGGAGAGGGCAGTCAGGAGAACCTGGCAGGATGCCAGTGCCATGGCTAGAGGCTCCAGTGATCATTTCTTAGGGAGGTCAGGTTAGGCAGTAGGTGCTCCAGAAAGAATCCTGAGGCTTGCAAGGAGGCTATCTTTCAGGGTATTTGGGGGATAACCTACATCAGCTGGATGGCTGAGGGTGGCAGGGGGCCCAGAGAGAGGCAGAGGGCTCCTTGCCTCCCTGCCCAAAGAAATGCCCTGGTTGGCAGTGAAATTTGGACTCGGGAATCATAGAGTGAGAACACCAAGGTGGTTGGGTGATGGTTCTGCTCCAACTGCCTTCTTCCAGGCCCTGCTGACCCAGGAGGACGCAGTCCTGTCAGATGAGCTGAACCATGCCTCCATCATCGATGGCATTCGTCTTTGCAAGGCCCACAAGTTCCGCTACCGCCACCTGGACATGGCCGATCTAGAGGCCAAGCTGAAGGAGGCTCAGGTGGGGCAAGGCCCGGGGGTTCTGGGGCCCAGGGCTGGGCTTCAAGGCCAACTCCACACTCAAAGACAGCCTGCAAAGTTTGAAACAGCCCAAATTTGCACCCAAGTCTCTCAGACCCAGAGCTTTTTTCCATTGCATCATGTCACCTTGGGTACCTTATGTGTGGCAGGCTCTTAGGCATAGTGGTGGGATGAACGTATGGGAAGAACTGGTCCCACCCCACGCTGCCCTCTGAAGGGGACACGGAGAGCATGCTCACTCTCAGGGCTAAGTGTGCTCCCGACTGCCCTGGAGGGGATGGTAAGGCTCCGAGAGGCAGAGATGAGGGAGATGTTCCAGTCCCACTACAGGAGTGCTTACGTGCCCACCTCTGTGCTGGGCACTGGGCAGAGTGAGCTCTTAGAGCCCCAAGTAGCTCAGAAGGTGAGTGGTTTGGGCCAGCTCGTGACACCAGCCGCCACCTGTCCTTGCCTTCCCCTGCAGAAGCATCGACTACGCCTGGTGGCCACTGATGGGGCCTTCTCCATGGACGGCGACATTGCACCCCTGAAGGAGATCTGCCAACTCGCATCTCAATATGGTGCCCTGGTCTTTGTGGACGAGTGCCATGCCACTGGCTTCCTGGGGGCCACAGGACGGTGGGCACATGTGGCACCTAAGGCCTTGGGTTGGGCTTCTAAGGATGGGTGGGAAACCAGGAGGCCAGCCTCCAGCTCACCCCATGATTGCTGAGGGCTCAGGCGGCCAATAGTGGCAGTGGCAGTGGCAGCTTTCCTTGCAGGGGCACGGATGAGCTGCTGGGCGTGAAGGACCAGGTCACCATCATCAACTCCACACTGGGGAAGGCGCTGGGCGGAGCATCAGGTGCCTACAGGGTTGTGCCCCTGGGGTCTCCTTATCCACATGCAGGGCCCTAGAGGAGTCTCAAGGGAGGTGGGGAGGGGACACTTGGCACTGCGGACAAGAGGGCAGCATGGACTATACTCTCGGGAGGGGCTTAGTGTAGGCTCTAGCTCCTGGGCCCTGACTACCCCCACCTCTGCCCTTGTTTCTCAGGGGGCTACACGACGGGGCCTGGGCCTCTGGTGTCCCTGCTCCGGCAGCGTGCCCGGCCCTACCTCTTCTCCAATAGCCTGCCGCCTGCTATCGTTGGCTGTGCCTCCAAGGCCTTGGACATGCTCATGGAAGACAACTCCATTGTCCAGTCTATAACAGCCAAGACCCAGCGGTGCAGTGGCTGGCAGGGGTGGAAAAGGCTGGGGCGGGGGGGCGCGCTGAGGCCTGCCTGTGTGCTTGCCCAGCCCCCGCTGACAGGTGCTACCTCTGCTCACACCGCATCCCCCGCCCGTTTCACTGGGACGCAGCTTGGTCTCTTCCTTCCATTTCTCTGCAAATGACCCTGTGTCTGCCCATCTTATGTAATTCTGTCTTTCAGCCTCGCTTTTCGGTCTATTTCTTCCTCTGCCTGGCTCCCCGTTGGACTTTCTGACTGCACCTCTGTCCTGTTGGTCTCTGCAGGCTCAGGCCCAGATCTGGGATCCTGTGCCCATCAGGAGTGGGTGTGAGTGATCCACAGTCCCCCGTGGACCTGTCACACCCTGCTTGTGCCCACAGGTTCCGCAGTCAGATGCAGGCTGCTGGTTTCACCATCTCGGGAGTCAATCACCCCATCTGCCCGGTGATGCTGGGTGATGCCCGGCTGGCCTCTTCCATGGCGGACGACATGCTAAAGAGAGGTAAGGAGACCAGGACAACAGGACTGGCTGTGGGTCCTGAGGGAAAAGAGGGAGGGGTGAACCCCTAGACTGTGACATTCCCCTTTGTCCCCACCCTCCTCCCCTTTTTGGACCAGCTGTCCACATGTGGAAACCAGGCCACAGGGAAATCCATGTCGAAGAGACCATTCCTGAGGGAAAAGAGGGAGGGGTGAACCCCTAGACTGGGACATTCCCCTTTGTCCCCACCCTCCTCCGCCTTTTGGACCAGCTGTCCAAATGTGGAAACCCAGGCCACGGGGCAATCCATGTCAAAGAGACCAGGGACTGCCCCCTTGCCCTCTGTGATCCTTAGGAAGCAGGAGCTGTATGTCATGCCCCAAAGCCGGCCTGGCTCTGATGAGTCCCAGGTTGGCTCTCTCTACCTTCCCAGGCATCTTTGTCATCGGGTTCAGCTACCCAGTGGTCCCCAAGGGCAAGGCCCGGATCCGGGTACAGATCTCAGCAGTGCACAGTGAGGAGGACATTGACCGCTGCGTGGAGGCCTTTGTGGAGGTGGGGCGGCTGCACGGGGCGTTGCCCTGAGCCCTCCCTCCACAGCGACGAAGGGGGCCTCTGATCATCCGCCCAGGCCAGAGGCCCTGAGCCCTGTCGGAGTCCTAGGGCCAGGCTGGGGCAAGGCTTGTGCTTGTGGCCATGAGTGTGAAACAACCGTGGAAATTGGTTGTGATGCGTTGGTCTGCTTTATTCTCTCTGAGCAGGTTGGTCTGCTCTGTGATGGGTTGAAGAAGCAGGCAGGAGCTGGGGCTCTGCGGGCAGGCTCCTGAAAGTAGACCTCAGAGCTGAACACCTCCCCCAGATTAAGATGAGACCCAGGCGGCTGGGCTAATATAGCAGGGGCCACCATCTGGCTCAGCCGACCCCGTGCTGCTGTAGAGGGAGCCGAGCATCAGCCCTGCAGGGCCTTTCCCCCCCCCCCCCCCCCCTCTGCAGCCTCCAGAGTCTAGCCTTGGGCACCCCTTGTGCTTCTCCCCATCCAAAGGACGACTCACAGCTGCCCAGATAAGAAGGCTGGACACCCAAACCCACGTTTGGACGAGAGGCTGAGGATTCAAGCCCCAAAGGAAAGAATGTGGGTCACTACTGGAGAGGCCCTGCTGCCTGGCACCCTGTGTTCTAGCCACTCTAGGCCCCATCCTCTGTGTGTGCCTCATCCCCCCACCCCCCTGTCCCCGCACGACTGGATTTAAGTTAACTAGGGCCTTCCAGCTCCCTCGTCTCAAGGCCTAATGGCCTGATGGTCAGCCGCCAGGGGGCGCAGCGAGCTCAGGCTCTGGCCGCTATGGCCCCGCCCCTGCAGACTCCAGGCCTTGGACTCTGGGCTGCTGCCAGGAGGCCGATTGGCTGCTGTGAAGGCCCCATCCACCTTTGTCCTCCACAAGGCCTCGCAGCGTCCCTATTGGAGATGGTACCCCCCCTTCCCACAGTCCTTTCCCCTAGCCCTGCTCCATTGCCCTCCCCACTCAGCCTTATGGGCACCTGGTGCGGGCGGGGGATGGCTCCGGTCTCAGTGATTAGCCTTGGGAAGCTCTTGCGTAGTTTGCTGGGGTAGAGCAGGGAGGCTGAAAAGGCCCTTATGAACAGGGAACTAGGACAAGGTCTGTGATGCCCTGCACCCCCAGCCCTCCCCTTTCCTTGGGAATCTTGGGGTGGACTATCTGGTTGAGTTCCAGCCCAACCTGCAGGATCTTAACACGGGGATTCTGGAAGCCCTAACGTGTGGTCTGGACGAGGAGCCCAGGGCACTGGGGGTGCAGCCAGGGGAAGGGGCTGCTGTGGCCACATCAGCAGCAAGAACCCTTGAATGCTGCCACTACCAGGGGAAGGCACCTGGTGCCACATGCACTGTTACAGCAGCGAGGGTGCATAGCTTGTAGCTTGATGTGTAAGGTTTTCGCCGGCAGGCACAATACATACCTGGCAGCCACGGTCATTGTCACATCACAGTGGGTGTGCCCTACCCAGCGAAGCCAGAGCACCTGGCCCAGGTCCGCTAGCTGTTGGCTGGCTTTCCCCAATGGACAACATGAGCAGCTGTAGGGTCGTGCCATCCTGGGCCTGGCCACTAGCGCACCGTGCAGCTGACCAGTACGTGGTAGCCTGGCCTACTGCCATCCAGAGGGGCCATAGGAAGCACCATGAGGAGCAGCAGCAGCTCTGGTCGCATGCTTGGGCTTGGGCAGTACTGGACACTTGCAAGAGGCTTGAGGGCCGGTCACGGGTCAGCTGCACTTCTTACTGCAGGACTGGGGGCTCGGAGGACCGCTCCCGGGGCACACAATCCACATCCTCTGCATTGGGCACAGGGTTCAAGGTGTGGCTGCCAGGAAAAGGAGGTGGAGCAAAGGGAGGAGGGGGTGCTGGGGCATGAGGACATGCCTTCCCGCCTGCCCCAAGGCCAGGCCTTCTGTGGTCCCCTCCATCCTTCCCTCTGCGTCTACTATCAAAGCTGCTCAGCCTCACAGCTGCTGGGAGTTCCCCTAGTTTGCCAGAACCCAGCCAAGGGTAAGGAGTGGCCTTGTGGGCTGGGGGCCCCCACTGGGTGGTAGGACAGTGTCAGGGATCTCAGGGGCTTCCCAGGTGCAGGCATGCCAGCCACATTAGTGAGTCCGGGCTTCTGGGAGTCGATGGGTGCATTACTTTCAATTCATAAAGCAGGGGTCCTCAAACTTTTTAAACAGGGGGCCAGTTCACTGTCCCTCAGACCGTTGGAGGGCCGGACTATAGTTTTAAAAAAAACTATGAACAAATTCCTATGCACACTGCACATATCTTATTTTGAAGTAAAAAAACAAAACGGGAACAAATACAATATTTGTATTTGCATGTGGCCCGCGGGCCGTAGTTTGAGGACCCCTGTCATAAAGGGTGGTTGTGATTCTAAAATCCCAGCACACTGAGTCTAGAATCCTACAAGTCTGCCTTTCAGTGATCATAAGATCCTTCGGTTCTAATTCATTCAATCTGCTAGCTCTGAATTCAGATTTGGAGAGTCCAGGTCTGAGTCCTAATACCTTCAGTTCAGGAGGTCTCTGCTTCCAAAAAACCAAGGATGCTCTGCGCCTGGGGTGAGAGCCATCAGGCTTTGGAGCAGCGCTTCTGAGCACTCGCAGAAATGCCAGGGGCCCGCGAGGAGCCGCTTCTGAAGAGTTCCCCCGCTCCTCTGGCCTTGATGCAAGGCTTGGCTTGGTCAGCATCTCCTCATACTATTTCCACTCTCCCAGATTTCCACCCTCCCAGCTTCTAGAAAGACTCCTCATGCGGTCCCTACCACCTCTCCTCTCCCTTAACTCCTTGCAGTCTGCACCTCGCCCTCTAAGTGCCGGCCTCTATCCCTTTTGGCCACGTGGTCCACTCTAAGAGGTCAGGCCAGAACCCCTTGACAATCAGCCATTCACCAAGACCTTTTAACCTGTTTAGCTGTTGAGTGTAAAGAGGCTTCTAGCAGGTCACTTGTTAAATCACTCCCAATCTGCGCATCCTTTTCACTGCAGCCATAATAAGCTAATTACAAAATAAATTGGAAGGTTATAGCCCTGCTCTAGAACTTCTTACTAGTCCCTCCATTGCCCTCTGGCTAAAGCAAGACTCTCTAGGCTGGTACATAAACTCTGCAGTCTCCAGCCAGACTGAACCCCTGGACCAAGCTTAGGGAAGCTGACAGGTCTCAAGGTTCTCAGGGTCTGGGGGAGGAGTCCCACCTGAAGAATGCAGAAAAGGGGCTCATTCTGGTTTCCCAGCCTAGGACACCCCATTCAAGGCTAGGAATCCTTTCTGAACTTGGGTTGGAGCAGGGAGAGGGGAGGATGGGGAGTGGAATCCTCAGGCAGGGCCACGGGAGGTGGGAATGCCAAGGATGGGCTGGGCCCTGGGCACAGAGGGGTTAACTACAAAGCAAATCGGAGAGCAAGATCAATGGGTTACTCACTGCAGAAAGGGAGCAACGCAAAGGCAGACAGGAGCCTCGCAGAAGAGCATGCCACCTGGGGGAAATCCAGGACTGAGGAGGAGGTGGCCACTGGGCACTCTGGAGGGACTGCCCAAGTCTGGCTCAGCAGAGGAGGGGCCTTAAAGGAGAAGAGGGAGAAGTGAGAGGCAGATCTCTATCTGCAGGGAGGCACCAAGGGGTGGCCAGGAGCCGGGAGGCAGCCTCAGCCTGACTGGTTCACCCAGGATCAAGCGGGGGGCCTAGTGCCCAGGATCCAGGTGGGTGTTGCACTGGGAGGGTCTTTTGCATGTTGGAGGGTGGGGGGAGTAGGGAGACATCTATTTTCTTACCTCTCCCTGCCTGTCTCCCTTGCCCTTAATTTGTCCCACCAACCTAGAGGTCCCAGGCTTCAGGGGGAATCCACAGGTAGTAGCCGATGTGGGGTGGGGCAGGGGTGAAGGTGGACACAGCTTGCACAAACGCACGTGCACATACACGCACACAGGTTTTCACAGCAGCACCTGTTACAGAGTGCTCTCATGAGCGCTCCAGCCTGGGAGTCAGTACCAGGATGGCAGCGGCCCCACATCTGCCATTCCAAGTGTGCTCTTTAGCTTCCCGTGTGCCCTCTCTGAGCCTTGACTTCCTCATGTGCAAAGGCGGGGGGGGGGGACCTATATGTGGTGTTCCCAGCTGTGCTACTGGGGCTCTTACCAAACTGGACTCTCCAATGACAGGGATGCCACCAGGTTTTGCTGGCCTTGACCCATGTCCAAGAGTCTTCCCTGAGCTTCAGGTGCCCCATTGAGAAGAAAGTATACCTGCTCCTGAGGCTGGAGTGCCCCTCTCCTCCCCTTCCATGTCCTCCCCCTCTCTGCCTGTGTCTTTACCTGCATCACTGGTTGGAGGTGTCCATCACCTCACCTTCACGCTCAGCACTATGGGGGTGTTCTCTAGGAAGCTGAGAAACCCACCTCAGACACCAATGTAACTGCCAGGAGCTTGCGCAGTAGGTCTCTGTCCCCGCACACCCCACTCCCCCTCCAGGAGCTTCTAGCCGGGAGATCTAGCCAGGCCCAGGCTGAGGAAACTAGACCCTGGGTCAAGTGACAGGGCTGCAGCCCCTGCCTGAGAAGTCCAGCTTCTCTTCCCCAGGTGATCATCTGCTGGAGAGATGGCTGACGCCCAGAACAGTTCGCTAGACAGCCCAGGGAGTGTGGGGGCTGTGGCCGTGCCTGTGGTCTTTGCCCTCATCTTCCTGCTGGGCACGGTGGGCAACGGGCTGGTGCTGGCGGTGCTGCTGCAGCCCGGTCCCAGCGCGTGGCAGGAGCCCGGCAGCACTACGGATCTGTTCATTCTCAACCTGGCAGTGGCCGACCTCTGCTTCATCCTGTGCTGCGTGCCTTTCCAGGCCGCCATCTACACGCTGGACGCCTGGCTCTTCGGGGCCCTTGTCTGTAAGGCTGTGCACCTGCTCATCTACCTCACCATGTACGCCAGCAGCTTCACGCTGGCCGCCGTCTCCGTGGACAGGTGTGCCTGGAACCGGGCCGGGGCCGGGCGGGGGAGGGAAGACCTGAACAGATGCTCATTGGCCTTAGGAGAGAGAGAATGGGGGACCCAAAAGGGACATGGAGAGAGGAAAGGAACAGCTCCCTGGCCGCCACCGTCCAGTCTCTGGGCACCTGCAGGGCGGGCTTGAGGGGACCATCCTGCCCTCCCCCGACTCCATTATGAGCTTCCCCCAAAGATCTCTGTGTCTCAAGTGTCCTCACCAGGTCTGGCACATGACAGGTGCTGTGTGAGTGAAATGAATGGGGAAGGAATACACGAAAGAACTCAGATATTTATTACCACCCATGCCTGGCCCGGGTGCGGTCATGCTTGAAACTTGGGATCAAATCCAGGCTCGTTCCCTAGCTGATGAGCTTGGCCAAGCCACTGTTCTCTGTACCCCCAGGCACTTCTCTAAGCGCTTTGCCCGTGAACCCCCTTAATCATCACCACCCGGGAGGCAGGTCGAGTGGTAACCCCACTGCTCCACCAACCCCCAGGTTCCCTCGCAGCGTTTTGGGGTGGGGGTGGGTGGTGAAGGGCGCGGATGC